CGCAACTGACTCTTAAAGTGAATGGGAGAGGAGACTCTAATTGGTTAAATGCACTTTTTGCTTAAAACACATCCATAACTCATTAAGAGAATAAGCACAACCCTGTTGGACCATGCGCCGTGGCTCAAACCTTATTTTTTCTGTCCCATTCCCTTTTTTGTGCCTGCCCTTTAGACTAGATCATAAAAAAGAGCCCTATTAGTTAAAGGAGCTAGAACAGTTTAGGAATCTTGAGAAATAGCCAAAGATGTTTATGAATGTTTGTATATAATATAATATAATATAATATAATATAATATAATATAATATAATATAATATAATATAATATAATATAATATAATATAATATAATATAATATAATATAATATAATAGAATAGAATAGAATATAATAGAATAGAATATTTATTATGTAATTATAGAATTTTATATACAGAATTTGTATGATTCTTTGATAGTTTCAGAAAGCTTAAAAGAACAGCATTATTTTTTTATGTTGGATATTATATATTAGAGATCTTTGCTGTGTTCTGACAAAAATAATAAATCCCATCAGGATCAGTTCCAAATAACAATACAAGTTCCAATAGGAATTGTATGTTGTACTTTTATGTCAATATCAGCAGATACGAAAAGCAGATTTAGGGATTATTCCAGCCTGCTAGAGAAATCATAATACAGCATTTCCCTAAAGACTTTTTCATTTTACATTGCATGGCTATCACATAATCGCAGAGCAGAAGTGTTTAATACGTCCTTTGCATCTTTAATTTAAACCGGCAGCTCTTATGATTTAAGTGAGATCAGCAATAACACTCATGCGATACGGATATCAGCTTAAGCCCTGAGTTAATATCCACAACATTTATTTTAACCATGTCCAGAGTAATTGGATTGCATGTACATTCGGTGGAACGAGCATCTATTAATCAAAGCATAATTGCGCACATTTCCCAGATAAACGGTGCTACTTCAGGTCCAGTCAAGTACAAATGAGTCAATCCAGGCATATTCATTTCTTATCAGGCTGAACTCATTGGAATCACATTATGGCGAGAAATAATAGAGGTAGGAGTTTATGAAACAAGAATATTCTATAAGATGGAAAAAAAAGAGCCTTTAGAAAGTCTAGAAGGATCTCTAAGGAATTGCAATCTTGTCTCTGCTAAATGACTCCAATAGCAGGTGGAATGAGGTCAAGAAATGCGGCTCTATTTCTTTACTGACTTGCACTGAAATTGAATAGCTTCAGCGTGCTTAACTATGGCCATAAACTGCAACTAGCTGTAAATACCCATGTAATTGGAGCTGTGCGTGGTGATGTAAATATTTAATGAGTGCTTATGTGACTTGTGTTGTATATTAGTTTGAGTGGGCTGCTCAGGTTTTTGTTTTATTTTCTCAGAGAAGCGTTTTTTTTTTTTTTTTTTAGACTTGCTGTATGAACAGTGCTCAGCATATATGAGTACACCCCTCACAAATCACTTATATTTATATTAATATTTACTATAGGAATTTTTACAATATTATATCTGTGCATATAAACTAGATTGGTTAATACTGAAGTCAAATCTGAAGCTAATCTAACTAAATAACTTACAATAACAGTCCAAAAATTTGTCACCTAAATGTATGTTAGGGGAAAAAAATAAATAAATAAAATAAAATAAATATATATATATATATATATATATATATATATATTTATTTTTTTTTTTATGTATAAATATATATATATATATATATATATATATATATATATATATATATATATATATATATATATATATATATATATATATATATAAATTTGGCTAAAATGTTACAGTTTGTCTATTTTTAGTTGAATTTAAATGTATTATCCTTCTATTTCTTAAGATGTTAGGTGACTAAAATATTATTTTTATAAATATATTCATTTAATAAATTAATTTTGTTCAACTGCATCAAAAATATTACATTTATTCACTGGCAAATGGATAAAAATATACATTTTTATAATTGGGTGTTCTCATTTATGCTATGTGCTGTATATAATGTATATACAGTGGATTACATACATACACTTGCTACAAAATGTACATTCTCTGTGCATTAATTAAGTATATTATTTGATTCTGATATTGATCTAATTATTGATTGTTGGATTATTAATCCAATAATCCAACACGTTTTTCACGTGATATTAATAATTTATAATGAATAAAAACTGAAACATCCTGACATGCTATAATAACCCCAACACACTGTGAAATTCACACAGAATCATGCATATAAAAATCATAATGGTTCAATGTATATGCTTATCTTATATAATGTTCAAATTCAGACTGTCAAATTAGACTGCAATTATGGACATCAATAACCTTATTAAGTATAGGCCTGTAGCCAGTCTGGTGAAAAGTTCTTGTTCTTTTTTCCTAAAAAGTGGATATTTTTGCAGTTATTCACCTCATTTTCTGTTGAATTATGAGGTTTAAATACTGCATTTAAGTGATATTTTAAGCACTATTTTTAGCTGGATTAGCTTGTCAAATGGTCCTCATAGTCACACTTTTTGAGGTACCGAAAACATTTGCTCAATATATAAAATAGGGAAATATGAAAATACTTATTTTTAAATACAAATGAATTACATCATAAATCATTAGGAATAAAGGAGATAAAATTTTAAATGTGAAAAAAACTGTATCCTATTGTCATTTATTTGGCAAATAAAAAGCTGACTAGCACATTTAACTTTCCTCAGTCAGAATTTGGCCATTTGAATAATAAAAGATTAAAACATAATAATATTAATAATGTAGACAAAAGTTTGATGATTTTTCTAGTCTCTTCTGAAAAAAAAGTCAATTTTGAAAGTTCATAGATAACAAAAATAGCCTAATTAGTTTTAAAAATTACTATAATATGGGCCACTTCTTCTTTTAATTGGTGTTTTTTCTTAAGGTCCAAGATTCAGAATAAAAGTTGGGCTACTTGTAGTGAAAGATGATTTCACTTTCGTACTTATGATGACACAGCAGTCGAAATAAGACAAATAAATGGGATAAATTCTGGACCTTTTATCAGTGGGGGCTACGGGCAAGAAGTATATGTTTTGATTTTATTGGAGCAGCCAAAATGTATGTAAATTTAGATTAACTAAATCAACAGTATAATTTGATCTTAACTATTTGTCATAAACACAAAGTAATACGGTATTTTCTATGGCTTAAAAAGGTCTAAATATATAATAAATAAATAATAAATAAATAGCGGGAGATTTTGATTGTTCATATAAAAAATTCAGCCTATTCAGTTCATTCAAATTGTGCTGTGAAACAAAGCATGTAAATCCTGCATCACTAGTATACAAATAAAAAATAAACTAACAGCAAATAATAAGAAATATAGCATTATTATTTATAATGTATGGTTTGATTTAAATTATTTGTCATAAGTACAAAAAGCAATATGATAATTTTTATTTCTTAAAAAGGTCTACATATGTAATAAGTAAATAATTAAATAAATAAACAGCCCCAGATTCTGTTTGTTCATATAAAAATTCACCCTATTAAATTCATTAATATTGTCCTGTGAAACGAAGTGTGTAAATCAGACCCCCTAGTTTTTGCAATCGCTGAATCCAATGCAAAACCAACAAAAAGTCGCAAATTTTTGTAATTCTGCAAAGTTCTTAATTTAAACGCAAAATAATCGCAAAAAAATAAAATAAAAATCTCATGAAACATCCAATTTCAAACCATATAATCATATTATATTAATTTCAGTTTGCAATTTATTGTTTTATATGACTTATAGACATTGCATACACAGTGCATGTGATGTATTTCAGTGAGTTTGGAAAAATGACGTCTAACATTGCGCCCACACAATCATTACATTACATGGAGGAAAGAATTGTTTTTCAGCCTGTGCAGTAAGCAGACGCCGATGAAGCGCGGGTGATTTACATGTGAAGTCAATGCAAAAGTGGGGTTAGACATTAAAGGCATTGAAGGGCATGAGATGTGCTTTGCATGTATGGCTGGTATTATGATGTACATTAAATCGATAAATGATTTTGTTTAACTCGTTAAAGAGAGAAAATGCTTCCTTTCAATTGAAAGTTTTACAGTAATCTGTGTTTTAATTTAAGTGAATTACAAAAGGGAAAGCCCTGACAAATGTCCTATGTGTGAGGTACATGATGTCAGATAGGTCCAGAAAGTGAAATCTGAGAGAAAGTAAGATTGTGGATAAAAATAAGAGTTATACAGCCTCCCTTTGGCTTAATGCCTACTGTTTTAGATCTTGACAAGAGATGAAAATAAAGAAGCTTTATTTTTATGATTTGTGTAATTGCCATTGTACTATATATATATATATACACATATATATATATATATATATATATATATATATATATATATATATATATTTATATATATTATATTATTATATATTATTATATTAGTACAATTGCCATTGTACTATATATATATATATATATATATATATATATATATATATATATATAATTATATTATTATATTATTATTATATTATTATTATATAATATATTATTATATATTATTATTATTATTAAAAAAAAAATTTACGCAAAATTGTCATAAATTTCTTTGAATTACCACCACAAACTCAGTAATTAACCAAAAAAAATCATGGAAAAACTAGGGGGTTTGGTAAATCCTGCATCACTAGCGTCTTAATAAAATAAAAAAACAACTAACAAATAATAATAAATAAAACATTATTTTGCTAAAACAACAATGGATTTCATTATGTCTGGTTAGTCTGTTTTGTTACAGCTCTATGGTCTTAATACCAATTGGGGAACTTAGATTCAGAATGGACAGCTTAAATGAGGAAAAAATACTGTAACATCGTTTTAAAAATGACACACTTGAGCATTCGGATGGAGCTGGAATTTGATGAATGACTCTTTCTTTCTTTCCCTCTCTCAGTCTGTCTGTCTCTGAGCTGATGACTCACCAGAACTGCTGCCACTTCTGCTCCTCAAAGACGTCCTCGGGGATTGGATCGATCAGCACCAGGTCAGACACTTGCCTGAAGAGACAGAGAAAGAGAGAGAGATGGTGAAAAGAGCTCAGATCAGACCTCACACACACACTAAACCAGCTACTCCTGCAACTGGGGACAAATGAACAGCATCCATCGAGTGAGATGAATGGGCTCAGAGCCGCAGCGGAGACGATATTTTCAGTCCTTGGGCGCTACAGGGCTGAATTTACGGCTCTTAAAGCTGCACATCAGAGCTGATGAAACGTTAAATCTGTCAGGTGGAGGGTGGAGGCTTCGGTGAGTGTGTGCTGAGAGGTCGCTCGGTCTCATGATGCTCTGATGGATGTCTTGGTTATGGATGGTATAAATGAAGCAATTATTTAAGTAATGGAAATCTTGCTGGCTAGTTAACTGGGCTAACAAACCGCTCAGACGAAAGTCAAAAAGCCTATAGATGATCCATTTGAATTAATTTATTGAATTGCCTGATTCCTGCTGAAGTGTGGGTCACTTACACACTGTAAAAAATGCTAGGATCCACACATTCAATTTGTGCTGGGACAACATGAAGAAATTAAGTTTAAAAGAAATTAACTAACAGGAATAAAAAGGAGGAAATTTCTTCTAAATATAACTAGAATTGTGTTGTTTCAGCTCATTTTAAATAAGCAGTTTAAACAAACAGCTAAAATCCTTTTTTTGAAGTGTATATTGTACATGGAATGTGCATGCCTTGTAGAGGTATGCATTCCTGCGGCTGTACCACGGGAGCCGACCAGATTTCTTGTGTTGTGGGAACAAATTTCCAAATAAAACGTGGTAGCGGTCAGTATCTCTTGGCCAATTTTATAGCGTTCCAGAGTCCCAACTTTATTTCGGAACAGCACATCTGTGATTACCTCATTTTTATTGAGCACCGTTACAGCTAGCGCTCACAACTATTACACATGTTGATTGCATGACCCGTGCTTTCTGGATGTGTTTTATTTTATTTTATTTTTTTTGCATCATCTGCATACCAGTCCTTAGAGCGGGCATTCCCAACACAGGAGAGCAAAGTGAAGATGCGCTGTCCCTCAGCTTGCATTAGAAAATGGTCAGTTTACTGTTACTGTGCGTTCACACCAAAGGCGGTGACAGCGTCAAAGGTTGCTCTGGCCACCCTGCATTCAGGTCCGCCGGCAAGAGCGTAAAAGAATTTCCCTACATTGATCTCCTATTTAAACGAGCTATTGCCGTATGACAGCAAATCAGTTGCAATCCTGCATAAAACAAGCTTTCTGGCGTGAAAATGTGAAAAACTTGGGAACAACTGTGGTTGGAACTAAAGTTCACAGGACTGTGTTCTGTGGACTCCTTCCAAGCAGTGGACTTCTACATTCCGATTGCTTGCCGTCGAGCCGCATCATAGCTCATTACCATAAAGTTGACTTGATTTTAACTCTCCTCGATGCCCACACCAGCGAAGATGTGCCGCGCCGCTCCTCTCTGCCGGTTTACATTGAAGATTAATGACTTCCCGCTACTTTGACACTCTTGCAGCTTTCGGTGTGAACGTACAGTTAGAAAACCAACATCAGGCAAGTCTTTTTCATGCATTTTAGATGCAAATGGAAAAAAAAATTAACATTAAAAATTACCCTTTGCGTGATGTTATAATACCTCAAAGTTTTACCCTTTAGCAGGCACAAGACTGGAACCTCAGGTTTAAGGCGACACTCGTGTCTCATGACGAAGAGGCAAACAAAACGGACATTTAGCTTACAATCCTTGCACAACCAACAGTTTTATCTAGCATGAATGATTGGGTCAGGTAGAATGCTATTCTAAGCAGGCAGCATGTGAACAAAGGCTGGATATACGATGAAAGCTGTTGGGTGTGGAATAAAATCTTGCAGGAGCGAGACAAAAAAATTTGTCCCGCGCAGACCTCTAATGCCTTGCATTATGATCAACATTATCATTGCATTATATTATCATTATAATATTAACTTACACTGTAAAATATGCTGGGTTCCACACAATCAATTTGTGTTGGGACGACATGAAGAAATCAAGTAAACTTTTAACAATTAAAATAATTAAGTGGTCCTAACAAAATCTCAGCTCATTTTAAATAAGTAGTTTGAACAAGCAAAATATTTTTGCGTGTATATTTGTTAAAAATCAGCTGGATTAAACAGACAGTTTGATTTTTACAAAGAAGTACAGTACATGCCAAATCCCCCATTATAAATTATAATATAATATATTATAATATATATTATAAAATATTTTATAATATAAAAGTTTAAATGCTAACTTGTGCATGAAAAGATTAACAAACAGAAAATACCAGTAAATCACAATATACTGTATGGGAATTGGCCCAAACCCAAAAATCTATTACTTTACATAATTATTTTTACTTAATATATTTTTATTCAGATTTTACATTAATTTCAGCAATATTAATGTTTATGATTTATTTACAATTAATATACTCTGTAAAGTAATAGGTTGTCTTTTAGTAGATATGCTATATGAGAGACCAAACAAGTAGATCTAATTGAATTTGCATTGTCAACCTTGATAAAAGTCATTTTTTTATTTAATGTATTACGTTTTTAGTTACTATCTTCTTAAAATCACTCTGCATAAATTAAATAGCAAAAAAAAAAAATGTTAACAGATTCTGTTTGGCCCTGCAAATGGGCATCCGTTAATGAACTTCAGTTAATATGTATGCAAAGTACATATCAACAAGTAAAAAGTATGCAAATTAACCTACTACTTAAGGCCCTGATATACATTAAACCGAGTTTGTTTAAGCCGTTCCAAACAGATCAAAGTAAACTTTCGGGGAAAATCTGTTTTAGATACTAAACACCTGAGCTACCATTGGTCAAGTGGAGAAAGAGAACATACTTTTCAGAGTCACAAATGTCAAAACAAAGGCAGCGTCTGCTCTCTAGAATGTCTTACGTATCATGAATGTGGCTGTAGAACCTGCCGTTGAGAGTTCCTAGCTCAGAGCCAATCAGAATGAAGGGTGTGGCTAAATCTGCAGCCTTGACCAATCGGTGAAGGTCATCCACCATCCTGAAGGATTAAAAAAGAGAGATACAGATCAGAAATATGAGTGTAGGTTTGGGGCGATAGACGGCTAGACGTGATTCATCTGGCAGTTCATTAATCACTGAAACGCATTACGACACAGATGTCGGTTCACCTCCAGACGGGACGCCCACTGTCCCAGACTCCTAGATTTTAAAGCGGTCAGTGAAGTTGCGTGAAGGACAAACTGACCTCAAACCAGATGCCGACACACTAAACTAATAAGCACCATGTACCATCAGACAGTAATGGGTTTAGCTTTTGACATCCTCATTAACTAAAAGGTTATGAAGATTCAATGGCCACAGTGATTTACTGCCGTGTACATTTAGGATGTGCAGGGGGGGGGCGATAAATCAGTCAAGAAAAACTAAACTGAATGGCATTGCTTTTTCAGACTGAAAGTAGTACAGATATTTATTTAATTACCATTTGATGTCATAATAATTATTATATCTTATATTGTATAGCAATCTGTGCTATCTAAATGTTAACCAAATTGTTTTTTTATTTATTTCTTGCCAACGGACATAGTTGTCTGGAATTTCATTGGTATGCTCAGACACAAGCACATCTGAACATATAAACAAACACATAAATTGTTAGAACAATTATAATTAATTAAATATGTTTAGGCTATGTTTAGTCATTTATCACACAAATATAGTTTTCAAGCGTAGCTGAAAATTGTGACTAATTACCAAATGGTGACATAAATAAAATATAAAGTTTCAAGTCACATATAAAAACACATATACCTGTATGTTGAATGCAAGTATACCGTCTAAAGAAAGAGCCAAAAAAAGACTAAAAGGGAGAAAGAAAGAAAGAAAGAAAGAAAGAAAGAAAGAAAGAAAGAAAGAAAACAAAATATATACACATATACACATATGTTGAATGCAAGTATACTGTCTAAAGAAAGAGCCAAAGAAAGACTAAAAGGGAGGGAGGGAGAAAGAAAGAAAGAAAGAAAGAAAGAAAGAAAGAAAGAAAGAAAGAAAGAAAGAAAGGAGAAAAAAGAAAGAAAACAAAATATATACACATATACACATATGTTGAATGCAAGTAAACTGTCTAAAGAAAGAGCAAAAGAAAGACTAAAAGAAAGAAAGAAAGAGAAAAAAAAGAAAGAAAACAAAAAAGAAAAAATGAAAAGGTGCGTTCGACTTGAACCATGGCTGCAGTCGGTGATCAACTAGATTTGCCGAGCGCAGGCAGGTCCGGAGTTGAAAACGGAGCTGTCAAGCCGAACATCATCATCAATTATTATTTTTTTATAACAACAAAAGATTTACAGTACAAATAAAACAGAATACAGTCTCTACCAACTATAGCTCATTTTAAACAATAAGGGAATTATGAATTAAATATATTACAAACACATGAGAGAAATAACGGGAAACGAGAGGGTAATATAAACAAAAAAGAATAGGTCTAATAAATACAAAGCAATAAGCACAAATTCTAGGAGTTTAAACATTTAAACTCTTTATGCTAATACTTCTTGTTTGAATATGCTTAAAAGGGGTTTACATTTATAGACATAAAACTTTCCAAAATTTATTAGTGTAAACAACAAAACAAGGTGTTTTGATTAAGTCTTAAACAATAATTAAGATTATTTTAGATAATAAAAGCATTTTAAATAGGCCCTTTAATCCAAAAAGATTGAACAAAAGGACGTTCCCAAAATAAGTGAGCTACACCTTAGAAGTTTCCCAGAAAGAGCAGATACATCAACGTCACTTTTAAAATTTGTGCATAAACGACTAGACAGGGGGGAAAAAATTATAATCATAAATATAATTTCATAATTAGTTAATAAAATAGTTCTTTAACTTAATTTTTAAAGAAACCTTTAGGGTGACAGGATCATTGATGATATTTATTTTATCACAAGCCTGTAAGATATTATGTAATTATAATATTATATATGATATAATATATAAGTTAATATTCAGGTTATTCACTAAAATATATAATTTAAATCGTTCATGGAGCTAAATGCAGTAAATAGTCTCTATAAAAAAAGGTTGAAAATAAACCTATGCAAACAATCTAGCCTTTATAAACAAATGATTTAACAAAGATGATTACTGCAGTAAAATATTTGTAGTCTTTTAATAAGCATGATATGTACAAGATAGAGATGGTATAAAAGTTAATTGTTTGATTTAAAATTTGTGAACAGGAGCTTGTCCAATAATAAACCCGAAACACACGTGGTTGTTGTCATGCTGCAAACTCAGCTAATCGTGTAATATCAGTGTCGTCATCGCAGCTCCTGCAGTCGCTCTTCAAATGCTACACCGGTTGCGAACGAACTAACAATGAAGCGAGCGAGCAAGTTAATGAACGAACAAATGAACGAGCGTACGAACGAACAAATGAGCATACGAACGAACAAGCGTACAAAATAATGAGCGCACGAACGAACAAGCGTATGAACGAACAAGCATACGAATGAGCGTACAAACGAGCATACAAACAAGCATACGAATGAATTATGAGAGCAGAAAAGAGCAAAAGAAAGACCAGAAGAAAGAGCAAAACAAAAGAGCAAAGGAAAGAGCAAAGAAAGAAAGAAAGAAAGAAAGAAAGAAAGAAAGAAAGGAGTTACAAATTGCTCCATCTTCCAGTGTAACAGATATTAATGTAAAAATGATGAAGGATTGTGGCTGCACTGTCATCCAAAAATCTTTTAACATGCCATCAAATGACTCTTGTTTTATGTATTTTAGATTTTTGGTATGTCAATTATTGATGTACTTTGTTGAACAACTGTTTTACTTAAGGAGAAATTTGATCTAGCCGTCCTCGTCTTAAAAGTGCCAGACAGGAGAGAATACAGAGCCACTGATAACCAACTGCACTGTCCTCTCGCTACGAATGGCTTTAATGTCAACAGTAACAAGATAAGAGTGACTCCACGTGAAGAATAAAAAGTTTCAGAGGACAAAGACAAAGACATGATTAAATAGTAGATCAGGTCAATGTCACAGGCAGAGACCGGCAGATACCGATGTCACAAAGATAGTAGAAACATCATTGTTTTCAACATAATAATAAAAAGAAATCTTTTTATAAAGTTTTTATGCATCAATTGAGCAAATTGGAGTGATTTCTAAAGGATCAGATGATGAAGATTGTACAAAAACAGTACATTTCCGACCCTTTGTGTGAACCAAACAAGTAGACTGAGACAGCTGAAAAGATTAGTTTCTGACTCTGCCCACTTCAAAACAAACTCTTGCACATTTTGACTGAAATATGAACACAATATACACTTATCTGCCACTTTATTAGGTACACCTTACTAGTATCGGGTTGGACCCCCTTTTGCCTTCAGAACTGTTTTAACCCTTTATGGCAGGGGTGTCAAACTCAATTCCTGAAGGGCCGCAGCACTGCACAATTTAGTTCCAACCCTGCTCCAACACACTTACCTGTAGGTTTCAAACAAGCCTGAAGGACTCAATTAGTTTGATCAGGTGTGCTTAATTAGGGTTAGATCTAAACTGTGCAGGGCTGCGGCCCTTTTGGAACTGAATTTGACACCTGTGCTTTATGACAGATTCAACAAGGTAAAGGAAATATTCCTCTGAGATTTTGGTCCATGTTGACATCATAGCATCACACAGTTTCTGCACTTATTGTCAGCTGCACGTTCATGATGAGAATCTCCCGTTCCACCACATCCCAAAGGTGCTCTATTGGATTGAGTCTGGTGACTGTGAAGGACATTTGAATACAGTGAACTTAATGTCATGTTCAGGAAATCAGTCTGAGATGATTTGGGCTTTATAACACGGTGTGCTATCCTGCTGGAAGTAGCCATCAGAAAATGGGTACACTCTGGTCATAAAGGGATGGTCATGGTCAGCAACAATGCTCTGGTAGCCTGTGACATTGACATGATGCTCAATTGGTACTAATAAGCCCAAAGTGTGCCAAGAAAATATCCCCCACACCATTACACCACCATCACCACCAACCAGAACTGTTGATAAAAGGCAGGATGAATCCATGCTTTCATGTTGTTCCCTACCATCAGAATGTCGCAGCAGAATTCGAGACTCACCAGCCCAGGCAATGTTTTTCCAATCGTCTATTGTCCAATTTTGGTGAGCCTGTGCAAATTGTTGCCTTAATTTCATGTTCTTAGCTGAAAGGAGTGGCACCTGATGAGGTCTTCTGCTGCTGTTGCCCATCCACCTCAAGGTTGGACGTGTTGGCGTTAAGAGATGCTCTTCTGCATACCTCAGTTGTAATGAGTGGTTATTTGAGTTACTGTTGCCTTTCAGCTTGAACCAGTCTGGCCATTCTCCTCTGACCTGTGGCATCAGCAAGGCATTTGCAACCACAGAACTGTAGATCAGCAGTTTCTGAAATACTCAGACTAGCCTGTCTGGCACTAAAAACCATGCCACATTCAAAGTCACTTAAATCACCTTTCTTCCCCATTGTGATGGTTGGTTTGAACTGCAGCAGATCATCTTGACCATGTCTAAATGCCTAAATACATTGACTTGCTGCCATGTGATTGGCTGATTAGAAATTTGCCTTAACGAGCAGTTCGATAAGTGTACCTAATAAAGTGGCCAGTGAGTGTAGACTAAAGGCATACAAATAAACCAAAAACAAAACAGAATTTTATTTTTAAATCTGGACCGAATGAAGCAAGAGAACCAAACTACAAGAGTGAACATGCTAAAACATTGTCATACCTGCCCGTAGTTGATAATCTCCAGACCTTCTCTGTGCCTGTAGTTTCATTCTGCAGGGCTCTTCGGCTAAAACCCAGACCAGCTCTGTCGTAAGTGCACACCTGAGAAACAACAGATGAAATGACAACAGGAGAATCATCAACTAACCCTCCAAAAAAAACAAAATTTAACATTTTAGGATTTTCAGTTTGCAAATATAATGTCATTTCACTTCAAATTGTAAACAACACCCTTAAATATATTGTATTTAAACAAGCATGTAAACATTGTCATGATTGCCAAAATTTTGAGAGATGAAACTCAAACGTATTTAAATCAATTCAAATCACTTTTATTTTCACATCATCAGTAGCACGTGTGCTATGATGAGTGAAAAGCTTAGGTGCTGGCTCCAGACAGTACAAAATACAGATGGTGTAAATACAACAACAGTGTAAAATACAGACAGTGCAAATACAACGACAAAAAAAATACAAGAGCATACTCCAAAAAAAAAAAAAAAAAAAAAAACAGGACAATGTAAAATTGACAGCGATATATACAATGAATAGGTGTCCACATAGTTTTAGGCAGTGTTGTTTAAAGTATAGATTGGTTAAAGTGCAGTGCATGCAACATATTGATGGTGTGCAGTGAGGGGTATGGAAGAGTCTGTGTGGGGTGTGTTAAGTGTTCATCAGCCTGATAGTCTGAGGGAAGAAGCTTTCCTTCAGCCGACTAGTGCGTGATCGGATGCTGTGGACGTCATCGGGCCTTAAGATTTTTTAGCACACTGCTATCAACACATAAATAAATCTTAAATGGCCATTTTAAATTATTGCACAGTCCTCCAAATACTAGGTTTTTACCATTAGTTAAACAAACTTTTTAATCATTTCATGTTTTGTATGACAAATAATTATTTTATGTTCAAAAACACAATTTTAATTATTAAACTGATTATTTGTATTCTATGTATACAATATTAAATCAATTTTGTAAATAAAATAATTTGACGCAGACACCAACATGGAGCATATTGTCCTTGACCCATTTACATGAATATACTCCTTACATTACATGAATGTACAGTCCTCATGCTAGCAGGTTGCCAAACTGACCTTTGTTGAAAACGAAAGACTCTCTTGCACATGAAACCAAATATCTGAAGACATCCCTGCTGGAGCATCAAGAATGACTGAAAACAAATATAAAACGTCACTTTCAGCATGCACAACATCAAGATTAGATTTGACAGTTTTGGATAAAACATTGTTTTGTCCTACCAACTGGTTGCCCATGTCCTTTACAGTGTAAATGGATCTTTTCTCCGAGGCCGATATCAATTAGATGAGCATCTACCAAAAAAAGAGAGAAATATAAACCCCAAAAAAACCAAAGATATCCTTAAGTTTGACTGAATATATGATAGGGTAGGGCTGTGCAATATGACAATATACACTACCTGACAAAAGTAACTTGGTCATTGGGTATTAAAAGTGGCTTATATGAAAGGCAAAGACCTCTAGATTATGCCTATTTTAACAAAATAAAGTATGATCATGCCTTAATTTTTTATTATTTAATTAGGACAGTAAGGTTTGACTTTGGTCAAACAAAAGTCGTGTCACTTAACAAAAATAATGTGCAGTGTAAAATATGAATATAGGTCATGGTATAGTGGAAAAAGAATTAATACGGGTTATGACTCCCATGAACTTGGAGGACTGCATCCATACATCTCTGCAATAACTCAAATAACTTATTAATAAAGTCATCTGGATCTGCAAAGAGAGCGTTCTTGCAGGACTCCCAGAGTTCAGCAAGATTCTTTAGATTCATCTTCAATGCCTCCTCCATGTTTATTCCAGCCATGCTCAATAATGTTCATGTGTGGTGACTGGGCTGGCCAATCCTGGAGCACCTTGATCTTTTTGGTGTGGAGGCTGAAGTATGATAAGTGGCGCTATCCTGCTGAAGAAATTGCCCTCGTCTTTGTTTAGTAATAGTAATCGTTTTTGTTTGTAATAGGCAGCGCCTTCTGACACTTTTTCAAATGATCAACTAGAAGTCAAGTAGTCAAGTAGTATTATTTGTTTGCTGTAACAACTGGATTGATGACAATACTTTTGTCGGGTAATGTACAGTGATCAGCATAATTGAGTACATCCCATTTTGAAAATTAATATTTTTATCCATTTCCCAGTGAATATTGGTAATATATTTTGGTGCATTTGAACAAAACAAATAATAAATTTGGATGTACTCATTTTTTGACCATTATCGTACGTTATTTTGTTAGATAAGCTCCAGATTTGGCTTCAGTCCTGATTTATCTATTGTATATGCACATCCTTTAGACAATATTGGTTAAAACGAGACATTTGTGATGGGTGAACTCGTATAACTAAACATCATATTGATAAAATAAAAAGTCCATCATTTCATGTTATGTTATATCATCACAAAAAAAAACATTGCTAAAAGTCATATTTTTCATAATTTGGATGACCATTCTGTATGCAGGCAGAAACGTGGTCCGTTAATATTTATTTAATATTTCTACATTCTTAAATCAAAAATTTGTCCATGAAATTCTAGATAAAGTGAGAAAAATAATTATATATGAATGAATACAATTTTGGGCATATATTTTAAAATGTCTAAAAAAAAAATAGTCCTTTCCATGTGGCCAAAACTAAATAATAGTGTATCATGATATATATCCATAACTTTTGCAATCTTAAATTCAATGTACGTAGGAATAATGTGCACCTTTTGTAAAGCTGCTTTGGATTGATAACATTGTGAAAAGTGCTATACAAATAAACTTGACATTAAAAACTTGAATTGTCGTATATCGAATATCATATATTGTATATTCATTTATTCATTCATTCATGTATTCATTCATTTTCCTTCGACTTAGTCCTTTTATTCATCTGGGGTTGCCACAGTGGAATGAACCGCCAACTTATAAATCATATGTTTTACACAGCGGATGCCCTACCAGCTGCAACCCATCACTGGGAAACATCCATAGAAACTCATTCACACACATACACTGCGGCCAGTTCAGATTATTCAACTCGCCTATAGCGCGTGTCTTTGAACTGTGGGGGAAACCGGAGGAAATTCGTGTCAACACTGGGAGAACATGCAAACTCCACATAGAAATGCCAACTGACCAAGCTGGGACTAGAACCAGCGACCTTCTTGCTGTGAGGTGACAGTGCTAACAACTGTGCCGCTGTGGTGCCCCCTTAAAAGTATGTTTACATTTTGAAAGAAGCCGAGTCAGCCGCACCAATTTATAAGCAGGCAGAGCAGGATTCTTGCTATGACCACCGGCACAATACCGCTCTTTGTTATGAGCCACTATTTCAGTGTAAACTTGGTAAAGGTGAGCTTCTTTGGCGATGATGTGTACAGTATTAGATTTTACATTTTGCTGACATTTGCGCTGAACACGCAGTGAATGCAACGCATCGAGATTTAGGCACCTTCTCCGAAAACACTCGATTGATCTCAGCTAGCAGATCAACATTTACCACATGTCATGATCGCTCTAATCTGCGCCAATATTTGTAACTTTAGGTGCGTTTGCAAACCTGTGTACCTTTCACTCTTCAGCCGCTTGCATTTACCGTGATCACAAAAGCTCCCTGTCAACTGACAGCAGAAAGCATTGAGTTATTGACAGCTAATATTAAATTATATAGTGGCAAAGAAGTGCGATTCAGCACGTTTTTAGAAAAAAATCAAAACAGGTCGCACTACACCCATTATATGCAGTCGCACAAATGCTCCCAAATATATTATGAGGTTGCATAGATTCAATTTCGGACGCACATGAGACCAATTTCGAGCCCTGTAAACCTTACCGTACGTTCACACCGAAAGCGGCGAGAGCGTCAAAGTAGCCGGAAGTCATTTATTTTCAATGAGAGCCCGCGGCGATAAGCGACGAGGAGCAGCGTGGGGTGTCTTCGCCGGTGTGGGCGTCGAGGAGAGTTGAAATCAAGTTAACTTTATGGTAATGAGCTATGACGCGGTTCGGCGGCAAGCAATCAGAATGAAGACGTCCACCGCTTGATAGGAGTTCAGAGAACACAGACCTGTGAACTTTGGTTCCGACCACAGTTGTTCCCATTCCCAAGGGCTTGATGATTGCGGTCGCCGGATTTCCAATTATTCACAATGTTTTCTTACATAAACATGCATTAAATAAGTTACTGGCGAGTTACTGATGTGCGTTAATGTTATATATATTAATCTTAAAAAAGCAGGAATCTCACGTGACAGTACAAAACAGTATAGCTTCAGGATATTTCAGACATATGGACACATATTGGATAAATAGAGCAAAGCCACACCACACGCAACTTGATCTTCCATTGTTATATAAATTGGATAAGAAGTGCGCAACATTTTCACGCTAGAAACATGTTTTATGCAGGAAATTAACTGATATGCTGCAACGGCTCCTTAAATATGAGATCAATGTAGCGAATTTTGACGCTCTCGCCGCTGAAGTTAAGGGCAGACAGCGTTGTCGCCAGGGTAGCTAGAGCGACCTTGGACGCTCTCGCCGCTTTCGGTGTGAACGTACGGTTAGGATCATTATAACAGAAAACTTTGGTGGTTTTAAAACCTTGACTTTTCCAAACTGCAATAAACCTTGAAACCGGTTATTGTCCCATGCCCAATACCATGATATGAGATTTTTCGTCATATCACAAACCCCTACACTCAAAACCTGATTTTTGCAGCTTGTTCAAACGATTTATTTAAAATGAGCGAAATCAACACAAGTATTAAGTTTGTTTTGGGACAAACAATTAAGTAAACTTTATCAATTTGTGTGGAACCCAGAGTATTTTACATTGTATGATGAGGTCTTACCTGTGGGTGACAACACCTGTCCTTCTCTTTGCAGGGAGGCATAGTTCAAGAAAGCTGGAGTGAAGATGACGAAGAGCAAAACCTTCATCCAAAAAGACACAACAGCCCAGCAGCTCTTCTGAGAGACAGTCGAACCAGTAACACTATAGTCCTCTGGGGTCTGTATGGCAGATGACATGACAAGCAGTGACAACAATGTCCAGTGATAGTGTAACTAAAAATAAATCTCTGTTTAAAAGAATTTGAATAACAATTAGAGAGACAAAGAAACAGAAATGTGTGCACATCTAGAGTTCTTAAAGACAGATGCTCGATCAAAAACTCAGTGGCAAGAGGTCAAAAGAAAATCAGCAATTCTCAAATTTTAATATTTTTTTAATGTGGAAAAAAAAAAAAATATATATATATATATATGACCTTTTTAATAAAAATTGGAGCATCATAGCTATAATATATGCAGTTTTTAAGATAATTAGCAAAATATATCTCCATTCATCAGATAGTGTATGGTAGAAGTTACGTTTTCCATTATTGGACTATTTTTCGAATTTGACATCCTACTGCACAACACGACATGTTTACTATTGCAACCGGTCTCTTTTCGCAACCGGGAACCCGTGTGACGTCATGTGTGACTTAGGTTGGTAATTCGTCTATTAGCTCCAGATCTGGCTTCAGTACTATTGTAAATCATACTATAGAAAATATTCATTTAAATGAGAGAACTGTCAGGAGTGTTCTCATATAAATCATATATAAAAAGTGTTTTGTTTCATATTATGCTATATCATATATTTTGTGGTGTCGCAAAATATATTGTTTATGGTAAAATGTTTAATTAGGGGCCTCACTGTGGTGCTGGTTTGACCCTCGGCTGGTTCAGTAGGCATTTCTGTGTGGAGTTGGAATTTCTCCGGGTCTCCGGTTTCCCTCACAAGTCTAAAAACGTTGTATAGGTAAATTGGGTTAGCTAAATTGTCCTTAGTGTGTGAATGAGATTGTATGAGTGTTTCCCAGTGATGGGTTGCAGCTGGAAGGGCATTTGCTGTGTAAAACATATGCTGGATAAGTATTTTGGTGACCAATCTGAGTGCAGGCAGAAACCTGGTCAATGGGGAAAAGGTTGCAAGCTTGAATGTACAATGTTTAGTACATTTTACTCATCAATATTTAATGTTGGGCCTGCAATAATTACTTTTAAAAGTGTAATAGTTCATTCATATTTATTTATTAATTGTACTTAATCAAAAATTTGCCCAGAAGTTCTACATAAAATGAGGAACATATTTTGAAGATCAGCTATTTTATTATATTTATAATAAAAATTATAAATTTATTATATTTATAATGTATTTAGTATTATATGTTTTGATTATCTGCATCACCATTTACAGTAAGATCAACACTGTTTCAGACGGTTTTCATATTGATTTTTATTTACTAGAATTAAATATGACAGTTACACACTGTAAAACATTTAGGGGTCAAAGTGAGCATCCTTTTTTGACGTGCAGATAAAAAAACAGTTGCAAACTGTATAAATATAAAAAATACTTTACTTTTTTAAACGATGATAGAATAAAGCTGTAATGTCATGTGATATTTAAATAGAGGGATGTTTATGTCATCAAATCTAAAATATGTATGACTAGCTTTAAGGATTTGAGCTACTGTTCCACTAATTTACATTTTAGTAGGTATCTTATGTAAATCATGGTAAAAATGTATGCTAGTCATTCTTGCTCAGGTACAATGAGCTTGTTATTTCTAGTTTTACCTTTTCCTCACCTTCTTTCTCTCAGGTTTATTGCCATTGTCCGCATCTTCTCGTCCGTTAGTCCTTTTGCGCAACATTTTACAGTTTTGAGTGCACTTCACCCACAGAACAGAAAACACATGATATCACATATGTTTGAATGAAAGTCCTGAACAGCAAAGAGAGACTTCCGCATTAACGGAAGCCTACGAGGAACAAAACGTGAATGTTTTTAAAGGGATGTTAACCGTTTAAGATTAAATATTGATTTTAATTATTCACGTTCCAGACCGAGAGCGTCTTGCCGATATATATATATATATATATATATATATATATATATATATATATATATATATATATATATATATATATATAGCCCCCCTTTGAATTTTATTTCTTTTTTTTACATATATATTTCCCAAATGATGTTTAACAGAGCAAGGAAATGTTCACAGTATGTCTGATAATATTTTTTTTCTTCTGGAGAACGTCTTATTTGTTTTATTTCGGCTAAATTAAAAGTAGTTTTTAATTTTTTAAACACCATTTTAAGGACAAAATTTTTAGCCCCTTTAAGCTATAATTGTTTTGATAGTCTACAGAACAAACCATCATTATACAATAACTTGCCTAATTACCCTAACCTGCCTAGTTAACCTAATTAACCTAGTTAAGCCTTTAAATGTCAATTTAAGCTGTATAGAAGTGTCTTGAAAATATCTAGTAAAATGTTATTTACTTTCATCATGGCAAAGATAAAATAAATCATTAATTCGAGATTACAGTAATTCAGGGGGGCTAATCATTCTGACTTCAAGTGTGTGTGTGTGTGTGTGTGTGTGTGTGTGTGTGTGTGTGTGTGTGTGTGTAATTAAATTACACACACACACTTAATTAAATCATTTATTCCAGTGATTTTAAAAATTAATTTTCCGCTTCATTACTCCAGTCTTCAGTCACATCCTTCAGAAATCTCTAATATATTTATTATTATTATTATTATTATTATTATTATTATTATTATTATTATTATTATTAATAATAATAATAATAATAATAATAATAATAATAGTAATCGTATTAAAAGTAATAATAATTGGAGTAATCATTTAATTTGAAACTGCATACAATAAGAAAGCAGTTATTTAAAATTGTTATAAATATTTTACAATTTTTTTACATTTAATAAATGTCACCTTGATGAACAGAATAATGTTCTTAAAAAAACTTGAAAAAAAACTTACCCCAAACTTTTGACCAATACTGTGTATATTTCAGTTTGTAATATTGCTTAATAAGTGCAGTCATCGGAACTGAACAGTTACTGAATAAAAACAGGTCAACCAAGTAAACCATTGCATGTGAACTATTCCTTTAAGAAAATAAATGAACTATATCTATATATTCAATCTAACTATAATATACTATTATATGTTGATAAGATTACAATATGTCTTGCATCATATTAGCTAAACCGTGCATTCATTTGGAAAACTACAAAAATATGCAATAAAAATACAATATTTTATTAAACTACAATAAAATATACAAAATAACTATAAAACAAAAAAAAACTTAGTAAAAATTAGAAATAAAAGATAAAAAACATAGATTTAATGTGACCTTCATTATAAATAAACCATAAACCTCTTCAACGTTATTAATTTTCATTAAAAATAAAAGGATTGCAGATTATTATTATTATTATTATTATTATTATTATTATTATTATATATTTGTGCTGAAATAAAGCCTCTAAAACCCTTGCATTACACCCTCTGTCCTGTTAGAGGCGCTGTGGGACATTGTCTGACCGTCTTTTCAATCATTTGCACAACCATCTTAAATAAATCACATGTTATGTCACACCAGCAGCAGGACACCCAACATCAGCGTCCGAGCTTCTCAACAAGAGTATATGTAGTGTGACAGCAAAAAGAAAGGTCATTTATAAAGGTCACCTCCAGCACTGCAAGCTTATTCATGAGTGTGAGTAAATTCAGCACACACCACAGGACACTGACCCGTTTTAGGTCCCGTGTAGGTCCAGTTCAGAGTTTAATTATGTATACAGCGCTCACAGTCACTCTGAGGGCAATGCTTCTTTCGCTGATGTATGTAAATTGTGGTTTTTATGCATCCTTGCTCTCGCCACACTATTACGTTGATCCAACAGAGTCTGATTATGCAGTAGGCCAATAGTTTTTAGCAACCGGATATTCATTCATTCATTTTCTTTGGGCTTAGTGTCTTTATTCATCAGGTGTGGTCACAGAGGAATATACCGCCAACTTATCCAGCATATGTTTTACGCAGCGGATGCCTTTCTAGCTGCAACCCAATATTGGGAAACATCCATACACACTCATTTACACTCATACATTCATTAATTCATTCATTTTCTTTTCGGCTTAGTCAATGTTTATGGATGGGAAACATCCATAAACACTCATTCACACATATACACTACAGACAATTTAGCTTACCCACTTCACCTGTACCACATGTCTTCAGACTGTGGGACTGTGGGTGAAACCGGAGCACCTGGAGGAAACTTATGGAGAACACAGGGAGAACAAGCAAACTCCACACAGAAATGCCAACTGATCTAACTGGGGCTCGAACCAGCGACCTTCTTGCTTTGAGACGATTGGGCTACCCACTGCACCACCGTGCTGCCCGCACCCAGATATGTTGCATTTATTTTTTCACTGTCTTTACTCTAAATGTATGGACTCTAAAATGTTATGGAAATACTTTTGTCATTATTTATTATTGAGATTTGAGAGTATTGCTAAAGATGATTCAGTGCCTTGCAATAGCTATATGTGTGTAGTGTGTTTGTGGATTTGTTAATTGAACAAAGATGCATTTACAGAAAGAAAATAAATATAGGCCTACTTAATTAGGTCTAATCCTATTTTCTTTCATTCATTCGTTCATTTTCTTTTTTAGCTTAGTTCCTTTATTAATCTAGGGTCACCACAGTGGAATGAACCGCCAACTTATCCAGCACATGTTTTACGCAACGAATGCCCTTCCAGCTGCAAACCATCATTGGGAAACATCCATACACACTCATTCACACACATACAATATGGACAATTAAGCTTACCCAATTCACCAATACCACAGGTGAACGTGTTACCACACAATACTGCACAATATTGGAAAAACGCACATTGTGATATTAGAATTGTCTGCGATTTATATTGCAATATTTCACCAAGTAACTCGAATAGCTCTATTTTGAAATAATCAATACATTTATAATAAATGGGAAGATTTTGTAGAGAAGTGCATTGCAGAATATATATTAGACTAATTGTCAGCGTAGATAAATACAATGGGCGACATGGTGGTGCAGTGGGTAGCACGATTGCCTCACAGCAAAAAGGTCGCTGGTTCGAGCCTTGGCTGGGTCAGTTGGCATTTCTGTGTGGAGTTTGCATGTTCTCCCCGTGTTTGCGTGAGTTTCCTCTGGGTTCAAAGACATGTGGTATAGGTGAATTGGGTAAGCTATGTATGAGTGTGAATGATAGTGTATAGATGTATCCCAGTGATGGGTTGCAGCTAGAATGTGTAAAACATATCCTGGATATATTGGCGATTCATTCCACTGTGGTGACCACTGATTAATAAAGGGACTAAGCCGAAAAGAAAATGAATGAATGACTTTCGTGTTTCTCAGGTCAGATAACATTTAATGTCTTGCTTTTTTGTTGAAATACTACATTACTTTGCGGCTACTAATCATGTAATAAAGTGTTTAAAGCTTTTATAATTATTCATTCATTCATTCATTCCTTCATTTTCCTTAGTCCCTTAATTTAACAGGGGTCGTCACAGCAGAATGAACCGCCAACTTATCCAGCATAGGTTTTACACAGCAAATGCCCTTCCAGCACTGGGAAACATCCATACACACTCATTCACACACAAACACTAGTTTATTCAATTCACGTGTACACCGGGGCGTAGTGTACATTTTAGAAGTGGGAAGACAGCTGTATGAAATCCAAAATTTATATTTATATAATTATTAATCATCTTTCTTAATTGTCTGTCTCCAAAAGGGAGGGGGATGTATCCCCCCGGGTTGCTATGCCCCTGCCTGTACCGATTCGTGCTGTGGAGGAAAACGGAGTGCTCGGAGGAAACATGGGCAGAACATGCAAACTCCACACAGAAATGCCAACTGACCCAACTGGGACTCAAACCAGCGACTTTCTTGTTGTGAGGTGACAGTGCTAACCACTGTGCCACCGCATTGCCCTCTGTTTATAATTAATATATATAAAAAATATATTTTTTAATACCGAATGTTGGGCGATGCAGTGGCAGTAGGTAGTACTGTCACCCAACAGCAAGAAGGTCGCTTATTCGAGCCTTGGCTGGGTCAGTTGGCGTTTCTGTGTGGAGTTTGCATGTTCTCCCTGCATTCACGTGAGTTTGCTCCGGGTCCTCCAGTTTCCCTCACAGTCCAAAGACATGCGATACAGGTGAATTGGGTAGGCTAAATTGTCCGTAGTGTATGTGTGAATGAGTATGGATGTTTCCCCGAGATGGGTTGCAGCAAAGAGGCATCCGCTGCGTAAAACATATGCTGAATAAGTTAGTGGTTCATTCCTGTGTGGCGACCCTGGATTAATAAAGGGACTAAGCTGAAAAGAAAATGAATGAATAAATGATACCGTTTGTTGACAACGTTACTAAATTCAGAAAAAAAAATCGGAATTGTTCATAACCTCGGTTTGTTTCTTTTTAGACGAGGCAGGCCACGTTAAACTGAACAAACAATGTAGATGTTCAAGACTCCTCTCTGCAGAAAAAAAAAACCCTGAGGAAAATAAAACAACAACATCAAGTGTCAGGAAATGTAAGGCTTCACGCTGAGCTTCAGACAGCAGGTGCGCGGTCACGTGATCACGAGCGCGCCTCTATCTTTCTCTCTCTCTCTCTCTCTCTCTCTCTCTCTCTCTCTCTCTCTCTCTCTCTCTCTCTCTCTCTCTCTCACGGCAAAGCAATCACTGAGCGATAGAACCGCCAAGCTGCAGAAGGACGAGGCTTTTTTCTCTCTTTTTTCCTCACAGAGTGTCAATCATCACGATCTGTTCTAACATGTCACTGGCAAACCGGTAGTCATGCCTTAAGTGTCATGCATGTTCAAACTGAGGGGGCACATGTG